TGTACTGCTTTGCGAAGTGCTGAGGTCTCCTCCAGAAATCGCGAAAAAAAAACGAGTTCATAGTTAAAAAGTATCGCTTTTCTCGAGAATCACGCTCGCTCACACATTATGAGGACGGCGCACAGTTTTTGTAGGAGCTGACTGGACTACGGTCACATAAAATCAGCACTATGTGGGAGCTTCATTTAGGAGTAAGTTTCTTAGTGTTTCTTTTCATTCTTCGAGCTTATACATGAACTTTATAAAGTTTCCTCCTCCCTGATGTTGCATTAAACAGTGTTTTGACTCCTAGGTGGGTTTCATTCTATTTTTTTTCGTTGTTTGAACTCGACTTGTAAACTATAAATGTTTTGGAAGTTGGAACAGTTAACCAATAGGAAATTTCAAGACACTCATATAAAATGAAACAATGAAACAAAAGAAAAAAGAAACCCACAAATGAAGTTTCCATTGTACCAGTCTCAAAAAATGGTGAGAACCTCCTTCATCACATTCCAGATCCTCTGAAGTAGGGAAAGTTTCTAGTTAGTTGCCATTATTAAGAGAAAAAGGTCTCACAAGTTGGATTTCTTTATTTACGAGCGGTCCAAGTAATAGCGTTGCGGCGCGCTCTGTGCCGTACCGACGATCGCCGCAATCGCCGCTGCTGTCGCGAAGTATGAACGCTGCCTGAAGTGGAAACTCTCAAACAGACCATAGTCGAAATGCCTAGTAAGTGGGAAGAATAACCTAATATAAGCAACCTCACCAAAGTAAAAAAGAAGTTCACAGTTCCTCCTCAATGTGAAGAACGAGAGCTATTATATAATTGCTATTTCTTCAGGTCACGAAGCTGCAACAAGTACGATGGCGTTACACCAATCGACGTCGTCATTTCCATATTCAACGACATCCCTAACCAACACCACTACAACAGAAATCCCGACAACTACATCGGCTCCGACAAACACACTACCATCTAGTACGGCATCGGCTTCGACAACTACGGAATCTTCGCATTCGACTTCCACGACCGAAGCTGCAACGAGCACCACGAGAGCAATAACTTCAACGGCCAAAGGGTCGACATCAGTTTCAATGGAATCGCCTGCGACATTAACCACAGTGTCGTTGACAACAGGTGAGTGTAAAATCCATGGGTCGTGCATAGATAAAGCAGTTCATGAACTCATCCATGTGAGCGCAGTCGTAACAGGTGGTCGTGAGTTTAGTATCGATGGTTGTGAGCGAATGTTCGAGCCGATTGGTACCAGACACTTGCACACTCAAGTCGTCTTTGACAGTTA